CCCCCCACACTCCACCTTCTATTCCACCATATTTATAAAATAAACAAAATATGGAATTTAATTGCTCGCCGACCGGACAGCATCGCGTGGTAAGCCTGGCAAAACAGGATCAAACGATCTCGCTCGAGTTAGCCCTGTTGGCTGTTAAAACAGGAAAATATATAAATAACAATCTAAAATCTGAATATTATTTCCGATAAGCACGTGATTTTAAGTATGGCTGAGATGTAATATTATCAATGTGTTAAAATTTAAAGTAAATCAATCAAGTAGTTTTTGAGTTATACCCCAAAAGGAGGCACACACCCCACCAACACACATAAAAGCGTGCTATTGCAACACTCTTTACCTTTCTTTCTTAGACGCAAGGGTAATTAACTCTCCATCGGAGAGGTGAAGGTAATACTTAGAAAGTTACAAGAGAATTTTAATGGATATAAAATGTACAAGTGGAATTGAATAGTTTTAAAACTTTACAAATTGTTGCCTATAAAAGTTTTACATGTTAATGAAGTTTTCTTCTAAAAGTTATTATTATTATTATTATTGAGAACAGAGTATTTAAAATTAATTATTGATTGTATATTGTGTTGGTGATTATTTTTGGAAGCTAGTTAATGGCTTAGTTTTAAAATTACTAAATCAAAGATACTTCCCTAATTTCTTTATCTTAATTACAGAATGCCTATTGTATTGAACATAAGAAGTAGTTTAGGGCGTGATAGATTATTTTGTCAGATTTGCAATCTCTTGCTTTTATACAGTTGTATAAAAAGGTCTACGAGTAAACTGTGATAACCCCAAGTCATTAAGAGCTTAATGGCTCTTGAACGATTACCATTTAAATAAAGTACAGAAAACAACATAAAGTTAAGGGCTCCGAATATAAATTTGCAGTATAATTTTATTATTATTTTAGGAACACCATTTATGATTTCAATATATTTTTAGAAGGAAAACTACTATCTAGTTTCGAGGTGTTATGTCGATAATAACAAACACGAACTTTACATCTAACAAAACTACTAGTTTAATGAAAACAACTTCAAACCTAATTACTAAATATAATGTGGAGCGTTCTCGTTTTCAAGGTTAACTATATAGCTTTATTTCACAATAGCAAATTAATTGTTCGTCGAACTCTACCAGGTTTAATTTTCTTTCTCAACAATAAAATGTGTCGAGTTGTCTTTACGGAGCGACATGACAACCAGTAAATAGGATACAGCCTCTATATTATTAAACTAAAGCTTGTTTATGATTAAGCATAATCGAACAACAAGATGTATGAAATTATGCCTACTATTGCATTATAATTAATATTAATATGTAATGCAGACTACATTGCAGACTGACAACTTTAAATATGTAGTAATTTGTGTATTGCTATATGAAACATTTGTTAACCTCACTAATCTATTTTTTTTTTTAAAGTTATATAATTCGGCACGTAAGTCATTCCTAAAACCAATTGATTATGCCTTAAGGTTGACGGTTTGCTTCACCGTTTCTTCTTCGGTGGTTTGCAAAAAGCCCATTTTTTTGCAGCTTCAATCGCCTTCCACTTGAATAACTAGCCCTGTAAAGCAAAATAAAACTTTTAAAAACCACGTCAAATAAGACTTTATTTTGATGTAATTTTTATTTTAATAATCTAGAATTTGCTTACCGCATTGGATGATGAATTACAGTAAGACGGTAAATTAAAATATTCTGATGCATCAGTTAACACGGCCTTCCAGGACTCATCAGTGCAGCTGGGGTATAGACCCAAAAGAAACGTTTGACCAGCTTAGGAAGGGCCCAAACCAGTCCCACTACCACTAATGATTACAGAGCCAAACCAAGGCAATATATGTTTTTATATATATATATATATATATATAATCATAACTTTACTTTGACGTCCACCAGCAAATAATTAAGTAATCCTGTCATTGTCTCTGTGTTTACAAACCCCAGAAACAGTTTAAACTCATGCTCGGCAGAAGGCCCAAAACATGCGGAGCCAAAAAACAATATGATCAAGTAGTAAATAATCACTTCCTTCCAACAGCTAGTGGCCACATCCCAATTTTCCACAGTACTCCCGTCATCAGCTGTCCCTGCCCCCCGTTAATTTTGATACTCTAAGATACAATACTACAATAAAATGATTCACCTTTAAAAGACCAGATACAGAGCCTGTTGCCTCTTGCTGTAGGTGGGAATCATATGCAGACAATGCCTTCATCCATCTACCCTCATGTTCATATGTGTGTATTCTACAATAGTAAACATATCAACAAAGATTTTAACAAAACATGTATTGCCACAGCATCATATATTTCAAACAATACATTTTAAAAAATTATTTACATAATAAAAATATCACATGTTCACCCCACACGCAACACAACTCCTGCAGAAGCAAACACTTGGATGCCTGTTTCTTTTGTTAATAAAACATAATTATCTATTGGTGGCAGAGCCAAGCCAAAGGAGGGATAAGTCGCACAGGCAGTTTTCCAATAAATGCACAAACGTCAAATCAAGTCATTTTTTCCAATATTTTTTTAATCTCTAAAACATACATATTAAACATTTAACTTTTATCCTACATTTTTACCTTTCTCTGATTTATAATCGATAAATGCTCTACAAATGGTATTTACGGAAGCTTGTCCTAGCGTACAGACTTAAAATTTGATTTTCAAAGCCAGTTTTCTCAAAATACACTTACCAAGTATCCTAACTTTAATTGCCTATAACTTTGTCATAAACTACCATATCAAAGTGATTCTTTTATCATTTTGAAGATAATAATGTCTAGTTTCATAACATGTACAAAACTCAATTTTGAAAATTTTGACTTATCCCTCAAATTTTGACTTATCCCTCAAATTTTGACTTATCCCTCCTTTGGCTGGGCTCTGCCACATATACATATACATACTGAAATAAAAAGACTGAAACTTATAGTTTTTACTGTATATAATTTACATTTTGTTTGGCAGCATTTTGTTTAGTAGCGACGAAAATACATTATTTCAATAATTTAAAAAAGAAGAAAAATCTATAACTACAGTCTAAGCATAAACTGATAATTTACTGTGTAGAAAAAAAAAATTCATTCTGAAAGTTAGTACAACCACCACTGCAATTCACACACCTAAAATGTAGTTTAACTTACTTAAATGTAATTTATCCACAAACATTCTTACCACCTACGATGAAATTACAATAAAAAATAATTTTCAAATGTGTTGCATACGTCTGTGATAAATAAAAAGAATATAAAAAAATGTTGGTATTTTTCTTTTTTGGGCATGTGTTTGGAGCTGATTCATTCTACAAAAAGTCCACAATTATTCCACAAAACAATCGTCTCAATTTCACCACACTCGTTCTCGCACAGCTTTACGTGCAAAATCCATTTTCGCCTGTGGTCCTATCATATGGAATGATACCCTCCCACCCTCCAAAATAAAAAAGTTAGTTTAATCACATTCAAAACAACACACATTCAGAACACTAACACTAACTCATGTTGAATAACTAGTATGTTTTCAAAAACAGTCTCAAAATCGTCGTCTGTTGAATCTTTTCCCTTTATAAGTGTAGTTAAGTTCTCAAGCATGCCTATAACTTACAAGCTGTGGCTTACGATAGGTGTTGCCATTTGCTATAATGTACAGTAGGTTTAGACAAAGCAAGCGAAATAAATTGAATTGAATTGAATTGGAGGAATTGGAATTGTCTTAAGTCAAATAATCATGGGTAAATGCAGATGAGGAGGTGGAACCAGTTCGAGAAATTACGTTAGACTTTATATTAACTTATAAAGCACTCTCATGCACATGTTCTACATTTATGAATTTTATACAAAATATTAAACCATTTGTTTTTTCTGAAAAATCATAATTCTCCAAAGTACTGTAGTTGATATTTCAAAACTACATCTCACCTGGCACTAGTGTCAGTTAGGCGACCGGCTCCGTAACCATAGATACCATCTGGTTCGCCGATATTGCAATATGAATCAAGGAGAAGCTGTTGGACATTGATGCCATGGTCGCCACTCAGACAAGACAGAGTCTCAAATGCTGACGTTCGGTCACTCATCATATCATCATTTCCATTTCTACTATTTGTAAAGAAAATGAGGGGTTTAAACCTGTCTCTTATACACATCTAGATGTGTATAAGAGACAGGGTGGGAACACTGCAAAGTGGGTAAATAAATTTTTATGTTTATTATTAAAAAAAAAAATTTAAACAAAATACACATATCATTATACAAAATATTATTCTGTAGATCCTTAATTATTAATGAAATAGATTTAAAATTTGTTCTAAGGTATATAAAAACATTTGACTAAATCGATCCACAAACCTTTGCTGGTCGCACCATATCTCAGTGTACAGAATACATGTGAAATGAGCTGAGCATGCTTTGGCTGCCATGGCAACCACCAAATAATCCAGTTCTAACCAGAAGTTGTTGTCCCAAGCTGTACTTTTAAGATTTCTGAAACACAATTAGAAACATTTACAATATATCAACAAAATAACACTGGAACTTTGTTCACTGTTGAGAAGGGTGCTTATTGTTGAGAAGGGTGTTTGAGGGGACATTTATTCAAGGAAAGCATATATTGTTTTTGGTGTAAAATGGATATTTATATACTTAAATAAATGCCCCTTAAAGTCACTGTAAATGTGGAACGACAACACATAACTAATGTCAAAATGTGTTATGGCATCAACATAAAGAATTAGTGATCCTAACCAGGTTACAAAAAAATGTACTTCTACTGAAGTAGAACATTAATAGAATGTGTTGAGAATGTTCTTGCCTCCATTAGATTTGTTTAGTCACATTGGAGGGCATTTATCTTAGGAAAAAATAAACGCCTCACTGCGTTTATTTGGGAGGCATTTATACAAAGCGGGGAATATTCTAATAAATATGCTATGTATATAAACTTATTTGCTGATCATATAGTTTATGTATAAGTGGTTCCTTAACAGGTGATTAGCTTATGTATGTGTGGCATGACTTAAACTGGTGATTGCTTGTATGGAGTATGTGGTTTGGCTTAACCGGTAGTTTTTCTGACCTACTTACCTGGTACTTGGCTTTTCTTGAGTACGCAAATAATGTACAACTTGTAACATGACCAATGTTGAACGCTTACTCTTGGGCTGAAAACTCATGTCTTTCAGAAAAGTAAAGTAAAACAAGTTATTAATAAAAGTATAAAAAATAAGAGAAAAAATAGAAATTAGAGAGTTAAATCAATTCAATTAAATTCAATTTATTGTCCAAAAGTAGAAATGCAGAGTGGAAAAAATTCATTGCATATTAAAATATTAAAATTGTACATAGAGTAATAAAAATATAAACAAAAAAATATAAAACAGTGTTCAAATATATTAAAATATGAAAGAATTTGGATTTAAAGTACTAAACTTAATTAATGTGTATGGTTGGTTTTGGATTGTTCACAGGGGAAACAAACCTGATAGCTAAGTTGGTAAAAAGAAAGCAACCAAGTTTTGTTAGAACCCAGATGTGGTTTAATGGTTTAAGATTTTTATACTATCAAAATATAAAATTTTATTCTACAGAAATGAGCAATTTATTAGCATACCGATGGACATGGGGGTCGGTGCTCTACTGTCATGATTGCCTTCCCCACAATGCCTTGCAAAGAAACTCTGAATGTGATTGGACAGGACTTCACAAAACACAGCATTTCCTGTGGCTAGTATGTCATGGATGAGGAAGGCCAAAATCTGCTCAGCGAATTCCACCTAAGAAAATTTGGAAAAAAATAACATTTCAGATCAGTGACTCCAATTCAAGCAGTTAAACCTTAACATTAGAGCTGGTTTGAGAACTTCCTCGCTTATGGTTTGGCTGGTAGAGTCTTTTTTGGATAAAAAAGTAAAATCTGATGTCAAGTGTACAACTACAATAAAGATGCATTAGATTTTATTATATTACAGAGGGGTTCAAAATAAACACACTACATGACATGAGGAAAAACAATTTTCCACAAACCTTTACTTTACAGACTGGCTTTAAAAGTCGTAAAAATTCATCTTGGACTCCGCCACTGTCGATCAAGGAACATGTCAACTGGCGAATCCAGTCATCGTGATTGGTGGACTCAGGATTCCACAGTGTTGCATCATTCAAAATGTTTGCGAATTCCTGCTCGCTTGTGGTTTGTGCTGGAAGCTTAGTTCTCTGTATGATTAAATGATGATAATTAATAATATAGATTAAAGGCCCATTTACACAGAGCACGTTAGCGGCATATGACAGCGGTAGACTACCTTTTATTAATAGTAAAAAAATAGTACCTATCATGTTCTTTATGGTAATTCCCATCGAACACGACATGACTACATAACAGAGCGATGCATAACTATTCATGGCTCAGCATAGACATTTCAAGGGTGGGTGGTTGATAACATTGGTAAACTTTTAAAAATAACAGTGAATTTTAAAGATGGAAAAGTGGATTAATAAGGGTGGGTAGATGGCCATGAAAATATAAAAATAAATACCTTTTGCTTGTGGGGTCTGAATGGATGAAGGTAGTCAAAGAGTTTATCAATGTTTTTATCCACATAGTCCTCCCGAAAAGCGATTCCTGATGGAGTTGCTAGCAGGCACTTCAGGCATTCAACTGCAGCTCGCTTAGTTGCAACACTTCAATAAAAATATAAAAATTACAATTAAAGATTATTAAAGCATTTACCAACTTAAGCATCACTATTCTTATTATTGCTTGTATTGTTGTAACTCACCATACATCTGTGAGGTATGTCTTTAATAGGTGAATTATGATGCATCTCCGAATCATACGTGGTTCTTCCTTGTACACCTTAACAGCTGTAGCGTAACTCTTGTTCTCGTCTGATTGATGGGATTTCAGAGACACAGCGCAAAGCTCAACTGGCCCTATCTCTCCTAAACAGCATGCTAAAAGCAATTTCTATTAAAATCAGTGATTTTTTGCAAAGTAATTATTAAATTAAACTACTTTCAAAGCATCGACCTGTAAGACTACAGTAGACAAGATATGCAAAATATTTATGTAGAACAACTAATTAAAGATAATTAAAGAAAATTGCAGTTTACCATTGCGGTTACCATTCTATCAACCCAACTATATTTGAGAGGAAGTCATGGTTGGCAAAGAACCCTAAAAATAAGCCTACTAGTAAAGAAAATAAAAAATTAAGAACCAACTGGCCGTCAGTCCAATCAATCATGATTTCCAAATGTCTCTGTTTAGGCAAAAAAAAACATTTTTGTTTAGTGTTATTGAAAATTTTACAACAAAACTTACCAGCCTGTTGCTGAATGGCATTGTTTACATTGTTATTGTTGCCTGATTGTCTGCATATGTTCACCAAACTTGATATAAGATTGCCTATGCTCTCTGTAATAACAAACATAACAAATTGATTGGATACATTATATGGATACCATTATTCCCAATTTCAGAGTCATCAGTTTCAATTCCTATGATTTTCAAATACAAAAAAACTAATAATGACAAACAAAATAAGATATACCTGAGATGAATAAAATTATACGACGTGAAAGTTAAATTCCCCACCTTGATCATCCATTAATAGTTGTTTCATTTCTTCACGATTCTTTGACAACTTTTGATGCAGAAGTTTGAGGCTTTCCAAAGTGGGCAAGTTGTTGTTTTGGCCATCACAGATCAGAAAGTGGTTAATTTCCTTCAAAACAAATAAATATCATATCAGCATCAATGACAAAGAATGTAGTGGTGGCTGTATAAATGGATTAAACTGTTTACAGGGGTCCCTAGTTGGAAGAATCCACATCTGGAAGATATGTTTATATCAGCTTTCTTAAACACATCTAAATATATTCTGCTGTGGATGGCGATACCCATTGGCACTGACATCGAGGAGACAACTGATATTTATTAAAAATTGGTAAAAACATGCAAGTATCGTGAATTTGCTGAAGATGGTTTGCTTTCCGGGAGATTGCTTGCTTGCTCGCGGAAGTGTGGGATGCCTCCCCGATTTTTGGGGAGACTCCTGCAATTTCTGGGGAGACTTGGGACCCCTGTGTTTATGAATCTTGCAAGTGACAATCTTTGCTTGTGTTAGGGTAAGACAATTAATTACACTGTGTCCTTGAGAAAGACACTTTATCTGCATTTCTTCTCTTCACCCAGGAGTATAAATGGCTACCTGTTGGGGTTGCCTGCTAATGTGCCAATATGGCATCAATACTTAAGCATGTGGACAAAATGACCTGGGACAACAAAGCGCTTTGTAACCTATAGGAATAGGCGCTATATAAATACTAAAATAACAATAACAACAATAACAATTGTCCTTCTGATGGAAGGTTAAGCTGCATGCGCAAATTGGTTCTATGCATGAAACACATATCAATCAGTAAACCAACATTATTAAGATTACATAAAGAGGATTCAGACACTTTTGGAAATCTTTGGCAAATGCTTAAAAAAATGTTTTACTTCACTGGGTGAATCTTAAAACAAATATCTTAATTTTATTCAGCAGTTACCATTAAAGCATTACAATTTACACATACCAAGTGCATTTTATTTACATATTCTAAACTTGGAATAAAATCTTAGTTTAAATGAATAAATAACATGAAGAAACTGATCTTGCTGTACCTCCAACAGATTGAAATTTGAACCCTTATACTTGGCTGCATCCAGTGACTTCCTCGCTGCACTCAGACAGAGTACCTCTGGCAAGGGATCAACATATTGCAAACTATCTGCCAGCTTTGTGCTGCCTTCAATCACCAGTAGATTTAACAATGCCACAGACTGCAAATAAAGGTCAGAATGTTTAAACACAACAGATACTAATTGGGATGTCTTCTTGGTTAGCAGTTCTGCAATTATAAAACATCCATCACTCCACCACATAAATGGTACCCCAATTCCTTAGTATGTGATTAAAGTATGCTTTACGGCAAAACTGGTTTTATGTCCAACATAACAATAAAAAAAAACGCTCCCAATAATGCTATGAAAAAGAGTATGAAGCAGTGGTGGTTTAAGAAATATATCATACCATATCGCATGTCCTATTGGGAGTCATGGGAGAGAGATTTTATGATTTAAAGTGGTAAAAATTTGGCTTTCAGATATTAGGTACAAAAACTTTGCTTAGAACCAGCAACCTTAAGTAGTGTCCAACGTTGTATGAAAAAAGACATAATTGAACAAACCTTAGTGCTGAGACTTGCATTTCTGTCTTGATTTGCCAGGGGAATTAGTACCCCCACGATAGCTACTGCAAGCTTCCCAAGCTCCTGAAGAAAGGTAACATCATATCTCTCATATTATACAATCTAATTCAAACCAGTCATTCAACAAATACACCTATTAAAAAGGTGTTGGGTAGCCATCTATTTTCATTACAAACTTTTGGTAGTAAAAACATATGGTTCGTAAATCAATTGATCTGTCTAACACGAAAGTTCAAACTTGTTCGGTCCAAATTAATGATTAATTTAATGTTTCAATTTTTAAAATGTTTCTCCCAATATGTAATTACATGGGTCCCAAGTCTTCCTAATTCGCGGGAGTCTCCTAGAAATCGGGAAAACTTCCGGCACTCTGGACTAGATTCTTCCAGAAAATAACCCCTCTCCCGCAAATTCTATAAATCTGCATGCATGCAAAGAAAGCTTGTTTAAACAGAGCTCCTAAAAATGACTTCTTCCAACTTCAGACCCCTGTAATTATTAGACAGAATGATATTTAAATGCAGGCAGATGGAAGAAACAAGTGTAAACACTAGACTTACCAGATGGCAACAGTTCAAAGCAACTTGACATATCTGGTGAAGTATGCCAAGAGCCAAGAGACAGGAGTTGTCATTGGTACAGCTCGATACGACCTGCAGAAGGGTGTGGATTGTATCATGAAGAACAAATGCCCAAGCTCCTCCAAGGCCGGTATCGAGCTCCTTCAGGAGCAGCGTTACAAAGAAGCGGTAGGACACCAGCAGTCTCTGCTTCTCGTGACTGCAGTGACTTTGTTGGAGATTCATTTGCAGGCTCAGTAGAATGTTCTGGATGCTGTCCTATCGATGTCATTAAAAGAAGAAAAAGAGGATTTGTTGGTCAAAAGCAACTACCAGTATTTCACCTAAAAATCCAGGAGTGACTTGCAGGACACTCCACATTTTCAAATGACAAGGCCTGAAGCCTAAAGACTACTGCACCACCACATACATTTGTCCTGGAAAATTGTTCTTTCGAAAATGGCATAAAATTAATATTGTCTTCTTTTATCACAAGATGCAGATGCAAATAATATCACAAAAGAAAACATAAAAGACTTACAGGTGACCTTGATAAGAGAGATATGAGTGTCTTCTGCGAGTTGCCATGACATGCTGTCAAGTAATCCAATGTAGCCTGGACTGTGTAGGCTAGAAAGTAGGGAGGATTAGGCTCAGGGCTGCAGCCACTTGATGGAAGGAAAAACAAGATTTGATATAGGAGACTATTGTAAATAAAAGAAAAATGATCCACAAGCTATGGTGATACATGACAGCCAATTATTGAATTAAAGATGGATAATCATTTATGATGATGTTGAAGTGCAGAACAAATGCGTAAAACCTGTTCCTTTACTTATGTAAGCTAGAGAGTGGTCAGCAGTTGCACTAGAGTGTTGGCGGTTGGTGACACTCTTGAAGATTTTGCAATTCTGTTGTGTCAGATGTTGGGACCAGCAAACATATTTCTATTTTTTTTTTTGTGAAATGCATTGATGCTTTTAGGATTATGTGCTATATAAATGGGAATTAATTATGTTTGTTGTTTACCTGTCTGATTCATTACTTTCATCATACAGCATTAGCAACAACTCAACAACAATTATGTCCAGATTACGTTGAATTAGTTGATCTATTTCCTGGAAAAAGAAAGAAAAACAAGAGATTCTAAAATTGCATTAACAGACATAATCATATGTCACTGTGAATACATGAAAGAAACGTTTGAGACATCCATTCTATACAATATGGCCTAAATGCACATTAAATAATATACACTCTTCAACAAAAATAATAGAGTGTTGCACAGTGTACAACTTACTACCAAGGGTGGCAATGAGAGTTGTTGCCACTTGTACCCAGAAGATCTAGCCTGATTTTTTTTGGCATTATATTGATTCTTATATTTAGAGTTTACAAATATACATCATCAGATAGCAACTATGTAACTTTACCTTCTTTCCCAGGACTTCTTCAAGTCTGTGGAAACATGCTGTTGCCTGCGCCTTGCGTTCGATATGAGATGCGCTAGCTGCTTCATCATCTTGAGGAACATGGGCAAATAATGGCAGGATGTGCACTATGCATTGTGGGAAGTCATCTTGTAAGAGCTGCTTAGTGGTAGTTTGAATCTCCTTTGAAATACTATCAACATCCTCAAGATTGTTGCAACACATAACCAAAAAAGGTATTATGCAATGATGGTATTTCCTGTGAAAAAAAACAAACAAATATATCTGACCTATCAGCTCACAAATGTTTGGAATCAAGAACTATTAATTTCCTACATAATTAATAGTGATATCATTTATCATCCGTTACGTTTATTCACCATTGGTTGACATTGTGCCCTCTTCTACCTTAATAATAATTGATAAGTAACAATATCGAGGATGATAAATATGTAGGTCGATTCTAGTTACATACCAAAGCCTTTCTAAAGCCAAAACAGAAAGTTAAAAAAAAAAAACATTGTAAATTAGGGTTGATCAGTCAGCAATTATAACTTTTACTATAGGTTTTATAGACTTCCATCGACAATTGGCAGAGGACATTGCGGCAGAGAGCAAAGATGGATTCATCGGCCAATTATTTTACAACAACGCATTATGTGCCTGACTTTGTAGGTAATGAAATCAATCCTTACGTGAAGAACTCAGCTCTAGTATTGCAGTTGAACAGCTGGTATGGGAAATCAAACACGTGGTAGCCTACATCCAGCCACTGGCTAATCAAGAAGCCTAGGTGTGACAGCAAAAAGTCTAGCGGTGATGGGTACTTGAGACTGAAAGCAATACTGCTTATCACCTGAACAAAAAAATATAAAAAAATTTCACTGCAAATAACCTAGTTATTTTATATTGGTGCTATATCTTTATTAATAATAGAATAATGTAGATTAAATTATTGATCAATTGGTGAAGATTCCTCTATCCGGGTATTATAATTATGTTAGCTTTTAAACTCTATAACTCTGAATTAAAACTGAAAGAAACTTACTTAAGTTTTTGATTATTTATCATAAAATATTTTGTATGGTCTGTTGTACAGTACTAACTGTTGCTGTTGTATTTTATTTAAAAAATAATAAAAATAATAATATGGAAATTAATATAGTGTACTTTGAGTCATCAAGGTAGAATAGAACAGAGCTGTGTATGTAATTGGTGGACAAAAAGTAGTTTTAAATAATTCCTTAAATGAAACAATAAAAGAACAGTATGGAGTGAATTCCAAAATATTGGTGCTGCAAAAAAAAAAATGAGTTGCCTACAGCCCGGTCCAGTTTATCAAATTTCATTTTTAAAAAATGTGACATGTCTAAATATGGTCATGATGACATCATGACCATATATAGGCACATCATGACTATATATGGGCATACAACAGTTTCTGGCAGCTGTGTGGAAAGAGAAAGCCATTGTTGGATCATAGTACAGTATTGGTAAGTGCTTACTCTGCTAATATGTGTGGTAGCCAGGCTGTTGAGCTTCACTGTCTGCACAAGGGCAAACACAGTCTTCTTCTGACTAATAACGCTGGACTTGGCAATCGTAGCTAGCATATGGAGCAAAGCAGAACTTCTGTTATGGAATTCATCACTCCATTCTTCTGTATCTTGCTCCTATGAATGATAGAAATCACAAATAGGCCTATGCTTATTGAAAAATGGAAAGCTACAACTGCTAGTGTAGTAAAATTGCATTATTACGGTAAAGCTATATTTACATTAGACATGACAACAACATGAAACAGATGCATGCAGTGTTGAAGAATACAAACTATGCGATATGTCATTGTCGTGTCGTTATCATGCCTGGTGTAAAACTAGCTTAAGATCCATCAGTTCATCCTGTTAAGTGTTCGCAAATAGATTGGAAAATTTGTAAGAGAGCATTCTGAAATTATGTATATATCAGTAGTAGTGAGTGAGATATTTACTTGGATAACCTTACAAATGCTAATTTTTACCTAAAGCATCCCTAGGAAATAATGGAATCATCAATTGCACTTATCCTCACTGCACTTTCTATAGTGATTTAAGATTATTTTAAAGCATATTTTAGAGTTAAGGGAGAAAATTTTGGTTTACCCACATTAAATAATCTATATAAATTTACATATTTGCCATATAAAAACTTCAAATAAGTTGGAGAATTGGTTACTAACCTGTTGGGGCATAGCTTCTTGGGCCTTCTGGTAAATCAAATCAAAGGAAGAGTTCTGGACATCTTTTGAAAACCAACGCACAGTTCCAGGTTCCGCCGTACATGAGAACTGGAACAAACTACAACATAAAAAATGTTTGATACATAACTCAGATTTATCTTTTTTGAATTAAAAGAAATACACAATTTAACAATTACTTACTTATTATACATAACCAATTTTGTAACATGTATTATGTGACTAAAATACTTACTACTGTATTCCCTGTGCCAGGAACATCTGGATCCGGTGGTCTGGGTCCAGAAGGAATTCTGGGAAATCAGCAATCACAGACTTATACGCGACATCACTATTGCCTATGTTTTCTTGCCATACCGACCACTTTAAATTGGGATCCAGTTGAATAAGAGTTTCAATGCATTTGACAATCTCCATTCGAACAGCAGGGGTGTACATATCAGTGGTGTTTAATTTCCTTTAGAATAGAAGAAGATTCATAACACAATTAAATTTGTGCACAGGGATGTCAAAGTGGGTATGGTTTAAAATTACAACCTAGGTGGGGCAAGAGGCAGTGGTGGCTGTAGGATATACACTCGGGGGTTAAGTTTTCTGACGGGAGGTGTGACAATCTCAAACGGAGGCCAGCAGGATCCAGCGCAGAATCCCTGGCGGTGGCCAGGAACTAATTAAAGTACCTAGTGCCTAATGAAACTGGGCATTTTTGGGTCATTTTAAGCTGTTCTAAGATGTTTTCAATTATCATACACAAAAAAATGTTTTAGATTAAAACTTTTTTTTTTCTTTTTTATCGGATCGCAAATTGTAAGAGGATACAGTACACATAGTTACTGGAGAATCAGTGATGAAATAAAAATATAAATTTTTCACGTAACTATTAAACAATTCAATTATTGCTGATTTAGACTCTATACTATGGAAATCTATAAATTGTCTTCTCACTAATATAAAGGTTGACACATTTCATTTACAGACCTGTTAATTGACAAAGGAAATATTTGAATTGAAAGCTAAAACTTTCTCCTAATGACAGTCAGAGCAATCTCACTGAAACGTCGAGACAACCAACCAGTGGTTGTACCTCAAAAACCATATTTTTACACATGGTGTACCACGTGCACTAAAAGCTTTATGATTTGTTATTGATACTTTTGCTATGCAAACTTTCAAAAAATAAAAATAGATTACATGAATATGTTTAATAGATCCAATGCATGTAGTTTAGCCTCATCCATATCTTCAGATGAATTCTCATCGACGGCGAGATGTCTGAAGATGAGTCGTATTTGCTTTAGGATCTTGGCACAAACCTCATGATTCTTTCGGTGGGTTGAAGCCATTTCTCTATAAGATATTATTAAGCAATTAGTATAGTCAGATGAAGAATATTTGAGATGAGGCTTAAATTAACAAACAGGGGAAGGGGGGCCAATCATATTATTATTATTTGCCATAAAATGACATTGTAATTATTTGAAGACATCACACTTTATAATTCGACTTTTCAATCAATCACTAGAACAATTTTATTTGATATTGATGAATACTTGAAAATCTCATATATTCAATGTGCATATGTATATGTTGAATACCCAGCAAACAACACAAGATTAGTACACAACTGAATCATGGATTGCATTTATTACTGGTAGACATATTCTGAGTGTTGAATAAAAGGTATATTGTACAGCACACAATATTTACCTTAGGAGTTGTAACACACCTTCAGCAACTGAATCATTCATATGAATATGAGGAGACGACACAAGGACTTCAATCACACAAAAACGCTGCAAAGAAAGTCAACAACTATTAAACCAGGCAGACAATCATATTTTGCCTTGCAAAAAACATGGAAAGAATCACATGACTTGTTTGATCAGATATGTCTGAAACAAGCACTATCAAATACTGTCTGTTGAATCTGTGATTTCAACAATGAAGATACCATTTTACAATGGAAGAAAGAGAATACTAGATTTCAGTATCACAAATGAAGGTTTCATTTAAAAGAACATGGTTGATGATAACACAACAATCTATCATATTAATTAAAACTCAAAGAGCAATTTTATATTAAAGAGATATTATTATTTTTTATATTAAAATCAAAATTGACTAACATATTATACTCACAGATTGCAAACCAAATGAAGTTACTTTATCCTGAAAAGTAAGAAAAAAAAAAAAAAAATTTAATTGATGAAATCAATTCTTATGACTGATAAATTTTAAGAACAATAGGCTTCAGAGTTAAGACTCTCATTAATAGAAAAAATAGAAATAATTACATATTAATTGTAAAAACATTTTAACAAGAATAGCTGGAATTTACTGGCAACACATTACATCTAAGCTATTAATTGAAAATGGTACTATTTAACAATTAAGTTTAAATATTTCATCTTTGTGAAATAAATAGTAAAACCAAGATATAATTATATTCATTCCTTATACAATTATATGACATTTATTAAATACACACTTAAAATGAACACTAATTATAAATACTGTACTAGCCTTTTGCTTCAGCTGTTCTATCAGTTTTTCCACTAAGTCTGAAGTGGTTCCTGACAAAACGTCTGGATTCAATGAGCGTATACAGCTATAATGAGCGATTAAGTTTAAACACTTAATTGTGAGCTGTTGCCGAGGAAGCAGGCCACCTTCAGATAAAATACTCTGACGTGCTGAACAGAAAAATACAAAAGCCGTTTTAATATTTCATCATTAAGTGCTTATTTATTTCTAAAACCTTAACTGTGTTGTTATGAATGTATTAAGAATGACTTAAACAACAGTTTCAGAATAGATGAGTGTGTAGCACAGATAACATTGATATGCATTGAAATTTTAAAAATGTAGTGGCAAAATGGGGGGACACATGCCCCTGTGTCTCTCCCCCCCCCCACCTTACTGGATCTGCCCCTGATATTACTGTTGAATGTAAACAGTGTAGTAATGGGATGGTTAAGTCCTTCAAATTTATATAATTATGAAGAAATATACATATCTTATTTTTGGGGATTTCAAGGCAGCGACAGGTGTGATAAAAATAAAGAAAAACATTTTTCCATGGTGGCAAGTTTGCTAAACAAAGCATAAAGAAAGTTGTCTTGTCTTCTCTTTCTTACTTAATAATGCATAGAGGAATCTTTTAAAGGCTGATGTATGTATGTATAAATCATGGAATCTGTGACATTATAAAGAATGCACTTGTAATAATATTGATAGAATAATTAAATTCACAAGATTATTCTAATTAGGCTAATCATGTTTTATGCTGAATCCTGGATTTTAATGTTGCTTTAGATTTTTTTTTGTATTTCCATCTCCATATTTTCTGAATAAATTTGAATTTAAAACTTACCTTTGACCTGTCTGTCATCTTCCTCCATGACATTGTTTGTCCCCGTATCAACATCACCAAATCCATCATCCAAGCTGTCACCAGCATCAGGTATATCCAAATCAAAGGTTGACTCATCTTCACCTCCAAAGGGGTCAAGGATGGCATGCTGCGATGGGCCACCCATGCTTCTTTGCCTTACTGGGTTCAAGATCTTGGGTGCAGACATATTACATGGATAAGAAAGTAAGTTTTAGTTTAAGTAAAATTAGAAAGGTCAACTATTGCGCGACAACATAGTGTCTACTACACCCTGTGGGGGCAGTAGACTCAAGAACAAAAAACCAAAGAGCTAAATGAATACATTAAATACTAATACTAGCCTGCATAGACATATATATTAAATTATGTTGCTACATATAATTTAATATTTAAAGAGGAGGGTGTTTCAAATTCAATGAAAAAAAAAAAAAAATACACTCTCACCTAGATTATTTGTTGACCTCTATATATGAAACCTAAAATTTTATATTTTTATTACTTTTCCTGACACTATAAAGGCCAAATCAGACATCCTAATACGACACCAACAGTTTTTAGGTCGTCATGAGAATATTAAACATGTTTAATACTCTATGAACCGACTGTCCCCGGTGCAGACCTATCGTGTCAGTGTTTAACTGACAGAGACCCGAAGCGACAAAAATTTGCGCCGGGCTGTGTCGTATGACGATATCTGAGTTGACGATATCTGAGTTGACCTTTTTCATATAGTTTCCTTATTCATTTGCTTTAACACGGATCACATTTTGCAATCTAAATGATGTTTACTATTTACCTCACTGCTTGCGATCTTGAATATGTGGTCAATAAAGCCCCAGGGTGTAGCATCTTTACATTCTGTCATCACATGTAGTACTTCAGCTGACATTCCTTTCTCATCAGCGTGTGGAATGTACAACTGTGACCATGTTGATACAACAGAGGATACAACTTCAAGTTTGGAATCGATGGTAAAATCTCTCTTCTTGCACACACGTAACAGAGTTTCCCAGGCATTCTGAAGTAATTTCTGAAAAGTAAATATAAAAGCGACCATCCAAAAAAATTATTTATATTTTTTTGTTCTGAAAACCGCCAAATTGTAAAGATAGGAAAATAATTAATAAGCTCCATTATTATAATGTATATCAGACGGGCCTGGTCTGTGACTTCTGTATCAGCCATTGACTGGTGCCTGCTACATATTCACATCATCTCAGAACGACAAGGGCTGAAATGAATATGAGCCTCTGGGTAAACAACCACTTATTGGTTTTCTAATCTCAAGGTATTGCTACAGAAACAGGACTATTCAATATTTTTATAGGGGTGTTAAGTTTGGGAGAAAAGTGCAATTATCAGCTGATTCATATGATTATTATTCACGAAATAGATAACGCTAGTAACAGGATGCCTTATAAAATCTCAGATAATCATTTCAAAAAACAAACTGATTTCTATTTCTTGAACCAAGTTCTAATAACTAGAAAAAATCACATTAATTCAAATTAAGTACCTTAAATTGTTTGTAAAGGTCACTGTCTGATATCATCTCATTTGTCATGATTTGACCTTTAAGTAATTTCATCAGTACTTTCTGGATCACAACAGCCAGTTTCAAAACATACTCTACACAGCTTTCCTATAAAACAAGAATTTGCAGTTTTTTATTTTTGTATTTAATGTTTTTACTTATTAATTATATATATCTATGAATAAAATTAGTCAGAGTATATGGCTGAAACAACATAAATAAGGTACAATAAAGTTAGATATATTTGCTATACACTCTTGAATGAGTGGAAAACCATATTTATGAACTTAAACATGAAAAAATACAAAATAAAACATAATAAATATCAAATGAAAAAAAAATATATTAAATATCTGAATGATTTGTTAGTACTTGGTGTTTTAATTTACATCATAAACAAATATGTTTACAATATACATTTATGATATAGACCTGAAGCAGGGGTAAACAGGGAGGGATCCCATAACAAGCTGGGGTTACTACAAATTTCATGTGGGGTGGGGATAATTATAAACCCCAGGTACGTATGAAATGACACTCAATACCTGAAAAGCAACAGCTTGTATTAGTTGATTTGTTGCTGCAGTCAAACTGTCCAAAACCATCTTCAACACTTCTTCATGAATTCTCTTGGGTCCTTCTTGAGTCTTACATTTCATGGTTGCTTTCTCTTCTTCGCCACCATTACAGATGAAGTCTGATTTGAGGTAGAGGCGTGCAGCCTCTTCCAAGTCATCATCCACATAGGTCTTGGACTTGATTGGCTCATCAATGCTGGGAGTCCGATGCAGTAATGACACAAGTACATCAGCAAAAAGATTAGCTGGCACACTAGAATAATAACAATAACACCACAAGGAAATCTATTATTGTGTAAAGAGATGACAGCAGAACTGATTTTTATCAACAGATATTATAGCAACAGTAAGCAGCTAAATATGAAATAGAATCTTTTCGGTAATTATAATTATCATACACATTTTAATAGGTACACAATTTAACATATTTTTTACATATGTGGACCATGTAATGGAAAGCTGTTGAACTCAAGGTGGACACTTGACAGATTGATTGATCAAAATGGTCATTTACAGTGGCGGATCTAGGTATTTGAAATTGAGAAGGCCCAGGGAAGGACTTTCACAAATAAGGGTCTGTACAACCATGGTGGCTGAGGTAAAAAAAATTATGATTATGCACATCTCAGACTTAAATTTTAATGTAATTTTGTTTTTTTCGCCATTTGTTTTATAATTTTTAAAAATTTTGTGAGAATTCCACTGATTTAAAACATGGAAATTATTTACACAATAATATTTTATGCATTAATAATGCACCACTATCCATCAAAGACATCATGATGCAATAAGTTATCTAGAAAATGACAATAATATGAACTTACAGAATTCAAAACAGAAAAAAAAATACCTCGAAAGTGTCTTTTGTAGGATATGAGTATCTCCGTAGTCGTCAGAATCTTGTACACTAATGAGCCAACGAACTAACTGACACCTTAGAGGAAACGCTGTGTCTGTAATGGTTTGATCCACAAGTGCCTGGTAATTCTCAGGGAGAGAGGTCTTCTGCAGACAGATGGCTAAGCAGCTGACCGATGCACTGCAATGTTAAAACAATCTACAGTTTGAATGTATTTACAACTAAGGAAGAGAATGAAAACATACAGAATACAATATTTACAAATACACCAAGGGGTTAAACCACAATAATGCCTATGTTAGCAAAAAGACTGAATTTGTAGGAACAAAAAATTACCTTTGACAAAATAAGTATCTTTTTTACTTGGAATATTTTATAATTTCTACAAATTATTGCAAAAAATTGCTAATTAATCTGGATTAATATCAAACCATGCATTAATGGAAATTGAGTACATGACTTAAGTTCGAAGTCAAATGATGATGTCACAATATATTATATGATAAAGAATTTTGTACAGAATAGTACCCACCTGGTGGGCTGGGTGATGCCAGGAATGAACAATCTCCATTGGTCCTTATCCAAAGTTACAAGGTCACATCTTAGTAACGTACATAATAAATTGTACGCTTGATTCTGTGTTCCATGTGGTGATACACTCCTGTAAAAAAATTATATACAAATATCATATAATAAACAAACTTCGAAAACTTTTATTTCTGACACTTTCTACCATGGTCTGCATCTATAAATCTCAATTCTGGTTGCCTGGTTGGCATACTGTATGTTCTACAGGTTTTTTTTTTAAATTATGATTTAATATTTCCTTTACAACTGACCTTACTGCCGAAGATCCTGTAGACCAGACCTTATTCCATAATGGTTTCAATCTATCTGCTATTGAAGGCCTTGGCTGTATAGCAATCTGAGATACGGCTAATGCTGATAAACACTGCAACAACCAAGTCTGAACCTCAGATCTGCACAAAATACAAAAACAAAACAATATGAATATGGTAACTTGGTTACAGGTAAACCATAAACATTTCACACATTGCATTTAACTACAGTAGAACTCCTACGTTGGGACCCCATCTAGTAAAGGGACCCCCCATTAAAGGAAACCACTATTAAGGGACATCTCTATTAAGGGACATCTCTATTAAGGGACATCCCTATTAAGAGACACAATACACAACCTGCTGACTGTATACATACTGCTCAATAAAGTAGTAGTTCTATAATTATTGCAATTACCTTTTGCATTGGAGTCTGGCTTGGAGTAATGTATTAAGCAGCAATGGAAGCTCTTCCTTTGGCAAGCTGTCTGGATATTTTTTCAAAATGGCAGTCAGAACTTGAAGCCTAAAGTTGTAATCCAAGGCTTACAGTCATTGAATGACAATTTGTTTGTTTAAATATTTAATGTACTCTTTTAATTAGTAAAATTTTGATAACAATAATGATAACGGTGATGATGACGATGAAGAATGTGATGACAACGAAGACAAAAAACAAAAACAATATTAGGAATATCAACAATATTACAATTAATGAAATAAACCTAATGACAATAATCATAATACTAATTGTTTAGTCATTATTTTATATATTTTCTTGTTAATTACAAAAACAATCAGAAATTCATTTTGCTCTGGTGATGATGCAATATACTTCTATCATGGTTGATAACACACAGTGCATACAGTACATCTAAATATTAAGTAATAACAATTAAACAATTACCATGCAATTCCCTGTAATGTTGATGCTTGCTCAGAGAGAATATCTGAGAGCACCTTCCAGCAAGACTCTACTCGGCGCCTCTTGGGTGCGGTCCCGCCCTGAGTTGCACCAAACTGACTACAGGTGCTCAACTGAGTTACCTCAAAGACATAGTTACTGTGACAGGTAAACATCTAATAAATAAAAAATAAAAATAAACAGGTAAAGCCCTGTCCAGGTTTATTTCTTTGACAAAAAACTGTTGTATGCCCATATATAGACATGATGGGTCTATATACTGTATGGTCATTATGAGATGTCATCATGACCATATTTGGGTATGTCACATGTTTTTGTCCAATAAAATTTGATAGTCTGGAGAATGCTTTAGAATGAATGGTTTTGATTGGATGACACGACTTATAAATCCTGACCTATATCTGCATCTGAATCTGTTTGGTTCTGCACAAATGTCTGGTGTGGCTATCCCGTGCAGTGTGTAAGCATGGGGTCATCAACAATATATAATTACATTTTAAAATGGGGGCGCAGCTGTTAAAATAGTCAATATCAAGCTTCTCAAGATGGGACTTAAATAGGAAATATATAGCGGATTTATCTTTTTGTTATAAAAACAGCAAGAGAAACTATGTCGGTTTATTGATTCTTTTTTCAGAGAAATCTGAAGAATTCCGCATTTCTTTGCTTCTAGATGAAGCTAAAATCCTGAACCTAACATCTAAACAATAAAATTCAATATATATAGATAAAAAATCATGGTATAATAAACACGGAATATTCTTAAGAACTACACACAAACATAGAAATTTTAATCGTCCTCAAATATCTATTATATCTTAGCTTTGTACTGTTCTTATTTTGTAATATTATGTCCTAAAAAAAGAGTATTTAAAAGCTGTACATTAGACTTTCAAGTGAATAATTAAATGATATTGAATGTAAAAAATGAAGGAATAACTAAAAATCTTTTGCTAGCACATGGTGTAGCTTACTTGATAAAACACATCAGTGGCAAGAGCAGCTAGGTTGGCATCTAAGGTAAACCCCTTTCCGCTATCAGAAACAAAAAATTAAATTCATTTAGTATCTACCATCAGACATATACTGTTTAGATTTACTAGATAATTATTCATTAGGCCAAAATAATATTATTAGTCCCAATATTTGGATAATTTTCTTATATATTTATGTGTTCGTTTAAATATTTCTATATTTGTTATTTACATTTGTCATAAATGCATCGTAAATGCTGTCTAAGACGCCCAACATAAAGTGACCACCTCATGTTACTTATGAACACATACATATATGTATATTTTATTGCATTACAATTATAAAATATTATTTTTAACAAATAATATAATAACAAACTTTATTCTTAGTAGTAAAAACCGAACGATTCGAATTTTAAACTACAAACAAATAACTTCAATTTTTGATAATTGTCTTCACCTGGTTGTCTTTAATTTGGCCTTGCTGCTTATCTGGCGAATTTCTTCATAGATGGCTTTGTACAAACTGCTCACTTGCACCTTCAAAACAAGAAAAAAAATTAATAAGTAAATACATTTTAAAAACATATATATTTACAAACTTGAGGATGTATAAAAATATGGGTTAAGGCCAATTTGAAGAAAACCTTTTGAACTACACCAGGATTGAACCAAGCATTTGTGGTTTGAAAGGCAAGCACCTAAACAAGTTAAAAATATCACTGACATGCAAATAAGGTATTTCCTCATTACATGAATGCACAGTGGCAAGGGATGGACGATTCCATTATTTTTTAGGGGTGTTATAGTTAAAGGAATAATGGCAATAATAGGCTTATCCAGGTAAGGTATTCACAAAATAGATTTAAGTTTTGTCCACACTATCAAACTTTGTGACAAAAAATGTGATATGCCCATATTTGGGTATAATATGACATCATCATTCCCATTTATGGGCATATCACACAAATTTGTCACATATAATTTTATAGTGTGGACAGCTAAGCTTAAACGCATATATCTTAAAGATATCAGATATATTTTTTTTAAAGAAATATGAGTTGTCTTTTTTGAAATAAATCACCAAAAACTAATGGACATGAACAAGTTGGTTGTTCCAGAGTGCATAGTACAGTAGTATTTGCTGAGATTATATATTAAGATGACAATTATTCAAACGGTCATAACTTTGCTTCCAGACACCCGATTGAGTTCATTTAACTGTCATTTTAAAGTAAATGATATGTTCTATGCCATTATAACAAAAACTCATTTTGGTTTGAGGACAAGTTTACAGCCTGTTTGTGAGCTTGGGTCACATATTTGCATATTTTTCTTATATATTTATTTGTTTATTTAAATATTTCTATAATTATTATTTACATTTATAATAAATGCATCGTAAATGCTGTCTAAAATGCCCAACATAAAGTGACCTCATGTTACTTCTGAACAGATTCATAAACGTATACATTGATATTTTATTGCATTACAATATCAATTATGAAATATTATTTTTAAGACATAACTTTATTCTTAGTAGTAAAAACCAAATGAGTCGAATTTTAAACTACAAACAGTTAACTTCAATTTTTGAGAATTGTCTTCACCTGGTTGTCTTTAATTTGGCCTTGCTGCTTATCTGGCGAATTTCTTCATAGATGGCTTTGTACAAACTGCTCACTTGTGCCTTCAAAACAAGAAAAGAAATTAATAAGTAAATATATTTAAAAAACATATATACAGGTATTTACAAACTTGAGGATGCATAAAAATATGGGTTAATGCCAATTTGAGGAAAACCTTTTTAACCACACCAGGATTGAACCAAACATTTGTGGTTTGAAAGGCAAGCACCTAAACAAGTTAAAAATATCACTGACATGCAAATAAGGTATTTCCTCATTACATGAATGCACAGTGGCAAGGGATGGACGATTCCATTATTTTTTAGGGGTGTTATAGTTAAAGGAATAATGGCAATAATAGGCTTATCCAGGTAAGGTATTCACAAAATAGATTTAAGTTTTGTCCACACTATCAAAATTTGTGACAAAAAAATGTGATATGCCCATATTTGGGTATAATATGACATCATCATTCCCATATATGGGCATATAATTTTATAGTGTGGACAGCTAAGCTTAAATGCATATATCTTAAAGATATCAGATATATTTTTTTTAAAGAAATATGAGTTGTCTTTTTTTAAATAAATCACCAAAAACTAATGGACATGAACAAGTTGGTTGTTCCAGAGTGCATAGTACAGTAGTATTTGCTGAGATTATATATTATATATATATATATCATTACCTTCCATGTGTCCGGATCACTTGCATAAGACCCTTGCTCTGCTGAGGTCGCTCCTAATGGATGGTGAACAGTCAACTGAATACGCATGAACTCTATTAATTGACACTGTCAACAAAAACATAAATATATATACTGTATATAAATAATCAATAAGCGCAAAACAGGTTTGCATAAGTACCCCCTGACTTATATGGCGAGATGAATATACTGTAGGCTAATACTAGGTGACCTTTGACCTTGAAGGTAATAATTCCTCTTGCAGTATCATTTGCACATGACTATATCATACAGTAGCTATGTGGTGGTCCTCCGCAGGTTATATCATGGGTGTAAACACAAAAAAAATGCTACATAGCTAAAACAAAATGGTGGCTTATTACATTACAAACTTTGCTTGCAATTAGCTTGTAGTCTATGTCAAAATTAAAAACAATGTCAATTAAATTTTACAGTGAAAGCAATATATTTTATATATTAATTATGTTTGAGTTATTTTAAGAACAATTTGTATGTTACATAATATTACCTTAATTTCAGTAGATGGGTTTCGATTCCAGATATAAAGAATTGTTGGAAACACATGTTCACCTAGGTTACACAATTGCCTCCGACAATTATTCATTACATAAAATGAAAACTTGCTAAGGGCAGAGAAGATCTCACACGCTAAGCTGCGAGCCTTTTCGTTCCTTAAATAACAAGAAAATAAAGAGTGCTATACATATCTTTTACCATTGGCTATCATATCAAAGTGTAGAGTGTATGTTTTATGCATGATTTTGTAATTTCTGCGGAAAACAGACCTTGGTGGTTTTTGGAGCGTCAATAAATTTTGAATTAAATGTGTAAAAAACAAATTATTAAAACCGGTAAAACCAAAATTATCAAAGGCTACAAATACAGAATAACACACAAACTTACTTCATATCTGGTATGACATGAGAAAAGAAACGGAACAATCGTCCTTGATTAATTACGGATTGGCCAACGGACTCCGCAATCAAAGCATGAATGGTCCGTCCTAACGCATCCTTGCTGATACTACAATCAGGATCTCTAAATGCGTTGGTGCACTTTTTAATCAAATCTAACAGGAAAAAAAAACAAGTAAAATCTGCCAAAAACAAACAAAATACATTGATATAATGCAATTATATTAACTTGATATTGAATGTACACTGATCTTATAGTTGAGAGCCCAAAATGTAGCATAGACTGCTCCCAAGAGTGTTACACTGTGCAAATATGTTAGCGAAAAATCTGAAACCTCTGAGAAAAGAATATCTGTGCGTCATCCAGGTTATGCTCGGAAAAACTGCTCGAATGGTTATATAATTACCATCAGGATTAAACTAGATAATAACAGCATGCTAGGCCAGAGGCAATACTAAATAAACATTTAACCGATTTACCGAATGCTCTCTAGTGCCTGCGAAAATAAAACTTACAGTAGGGCCTATTCTACATTATTAGCTCCCTCACATCATATTTAGAAGGAAATCAAAGTTACCAATTTTACCATTGAATATTAATTTATACATATGTTCAACCACAATCGTTTGATATTAACATAAAATACAAACAATAAATACCATTCCAATCTTTTTGTTTCAACACTGTGACATATTTCTGGCTTCTTAAAATATTCTTATAAAGAACATGAACTGCGTCTTCACCAAAGGCATTTCTTAAGAATTCATCAGATAATATTGTGAAAAGATACTCCACAACGCTGTCACATTTTAGTCTTTCTTTTCCTGCAAAAAATGAATCAAAGAAAAAAATATTTACAGTATAATTTTTATTAAATGTCAATCTAATACGAGTTACAACAAGCAAAACTGTGCCCTGTGCACGCGAAAGAGCCCAGGAAGGATACCCTGGTGTTGTGCAGAGGGCAGACAAACAATGCTGTTTTACTGTGTAAAGGCACAAAACAGACAATAGACAACATGAATTGAGCATCAGGGACAAAGAATATTAATAAACACCAGGTGCCATGAGCTTGAGGTTTGACAGATACCAGCGCTATATAATTAATTACTATTATTACCAGATTTCCAAAACTATGACATAAAAACCAAAAAAAATATTGATGGTTTTCAATTTTTTTTTTGCAGAAATGACGCTGCTCTTTAAATTCTGGTTCATGTTATGATCCTTGTGTGTCCATGAATTATTATTTTTTAAAAATTATCTTTAAAGGCCTGTTCAGAGTATAAAATTTAATTTGATCCAAAAACTGTTGTACGCCCATATACAATCATGATATGCCTATACATCCCTGTTATTCAACGCGGGCCAAATCCGGCGGGCCAAATCCTGCGAGCCAAAGATTTTGATCCGGCCCGTGTGACATTGCTAAATATAAATCATTTTCCGGCCCATTTTTAGAAAACGTTTTTCTGTTTACAGAAACACCACCTTGGCACCCCTACTCTAGCATTGTTTACAAGAGTATGGCTTTTCCTGAGTGTAGCTTGCTGTATCTAGTGGTGTAGGATATTGACACGGGGAGAGGGAGACTAATGGATTAAATCGGCGCTGATATGATGCGATGTCTACCATTTGCGGTGCCAGAAGGCTAGGGGGCATGCATTCTGTTGAAAACACTGCTTTGAAAACCAATTGTTTAAAGTGCCATTTCCAGGAATCTAGAGATATCTCGTTAACAATTTGCTCACCTCAACCCCAACCACTGGTGAGAGGATATTTTTGTGGTAATAATTTCAGAGTAGGAGAACCTGGAGTGCAACATTTTTTTTTTTTTCTAAATTTTAAAATAAAATGGGGAAGAAAAGAAAATTATATTAAAATTTTGAGAGTGCCATTTTCAACCGTCTAGAGGTACCCTTAATCATAAATTTTTTGACCTCAGCCCCAACCATGGACATGGTGGAGCTGTGGTATATTTTCTTCCCTTGCCCATTCTATTTTGAATCCACCACTGTAAAAGAAAACGGGTGGGGCTAACATAGAAAAAGGTCAGTACACAGTTTATGTCGGCCCGCCGCTGATCTTAACAGATTGGAACTGGCCGCCAGCTTAAAAAGGTTGAATACCTGGGCTATATGGCATGATGTGATGTTATCATGACCATATTTAGGCATGTCTGATGATTTTGTCAAAACATAATTTGATAGTCTATGACTGGGCTTAAGATGAGCTATTTCTACTACACCAATGTCATTAGCAATAATTCAGGACTTACTTCCATTGGCAACTTTAATGATCCATCTAAACAGTGATCCTAAATCCTTTTTTCTTTTATCTTGCGTTCTGGCAGTTGTTGTTGAGCCTATCAGATAACAAGGAATTCATCATAAAGTTAAAGCCATTGACTATCATTTTAGCACGACCACTATTCAGGAAATTCAGGGGAAGACCAAGAATTACATTGCCAATCACCTTACATAATGACCTCACAAAACTGACAAATCTCAGCTAGTTAACATCATTATAATCACAAATCACTCAAGAACACAAGGGACTTAAATGCATTAAATGAAATAGCAAAAAAAACGGTCCAGACTGGAGACGACTAAGAAACATTAGTAGATCAGCGAAGGTAGAGATGTTGAATTGACTTCTCAGCAGAACAGCAGCAACATCATCATCATATCATCATTATAAAGTTATTTCTTTTTATTTTGTCACAAGTTCCTCTGTTTCAGATTTAAGCCTCAAGTTATCCCCACACCTGAATAATATTTTCTTTGGCTTTCAGCCTTTGATTTTACAGCATATTTATACTCATTCTTTTTTTTTTTTTTCAATCAGGAACTCACCACTGTTTCTAACCCATGGGTTTGGTGACCCATCCAGCATGAGCTGATTATAAGGGCCCTCAAAACCAAAGGATACACCAAAAAAGTAAGCATACTGAAATTGTTCAAAATTAAATGTAAAAACCAATGTAATTTTATTAACAAGTATACATCTTAACAAGTAAAACACCTTAATTACAAATAATAAAAACCTGTCTGTATCTGATTTGTTAAATAACAAATAAATAATAACATTGACAAAAATAACAATAACAAAACAATAATATACAAATGACTTAATTCAAACATACCAACTTTCATTTTCTGGATAAGATCAGCTTCTGAAGAAATGTATTGCTGAATACATCTGAACATTACGTTCCAGTTGAGTTCGTGCTTCTTGTCGGAGGAGTCATCTAGTGCAATCTTTACTCTATCTTTCATCAGCTCTTTCCTAATTGTTTCAAGACCCTTCTGCAACAAAAATAGCAAGACTTTATTATAGTTTATACGTAGGTATTTACAGTTTTAACATTGGGATGTACTGTAGTTATTGTGGGTGGGCCACAAAGCCTTGAAATCTTCCACCCAGTCTAAACCAATTTCATGGCCCTCCACCCACCTTTATTACCCCTTTGCCCATCCGAAGAATTCACTTTTTTTAATTAGAGTTTACATATGTCATCACCCACACTTAGTTTTCAACAGCCACAATCCTGTTAACATCATTTATAGTCTTGTTTAAACGGCAGATCACCGTAAAGATCGCGTTTATCCGTTGACATAGGTGTTAAGTGGCCATGTAAACGGATCAGTAACCGCAATGATCTACACAGTTACCTCTGCATCACAGCTGTGTTACCATAGACCATCAGCATGATCTTTATGCAAATTAGCTGTTGTTTGACCTGTGTGAGTCATCGCTGGACGTCACTGTTGATAAACAGCGTGAATACCATTATTATCATTTGATTAATTATGTTTTTATCAATTACATACATTTTAAAACTTCTTTGACAAAGGGTTTCAAAACAAAACAAGCAGCAATGCGGCCAATTTTTTTCAAGTCAGTTTTATTCATGTGACTACCTGGTACAACCGATAATTTTTTTATCGTGTAGACACGCGACTAGAGATCATCATTGTTACCTATCTTATAGCAAACACCCAGTAAACAAGGCTTATGTTGAGCTTCAAGTACAAACAAAACAATAAAAAACCAGAAATTACTGTAGTTAAAACAAAGAAACATATTACCTTCCTCTGGGCAGCTTTGCCATCTCCAAGTTGGTAACATGCAGCACGCAAATGAGTCAGTGCTTCACTCATAATGAAAACTACTGTACTACAGTATGTTGTAATATGAAGAAAAATGAAAAGTTTTAATTTGCAGTATATTTTCTAAAAAATCTATTTAGTTCTGTAAGTAATACAGTTGAACTTGCCGTCAAATTCAAAATGCCATTGAAAAAATGTACGACTTACATAAAATTTGACTTACGGATCCATAATTAATGGAAAACACAACAATTTGGCATGTAAAAGAAGATCGACTTAGAGATGATTCGAGTTAGGCAAGTAGATACTTGAGCACTCTATCTACATAGTATACCTATAAAAAATGATCTGGAAATTTATATTTGAGCATGCATTTGTCACATCACAGGCACTAGTTAAATTCAAACTTAAGAGCAATGAAGTTATATTGAACAAGAAATCGATGTTTACTATCATTTTGGGAAAAACCTTACCAGAAATACCAGATTTAGAATAGAAGGTTACAATACAAAGAAAGTTGTACCAAAGCCTAGCTGGCATAAATTATTAATGTTTTTTGTGGTCATTAGGCCTACACAGGAGTTTCAAGTTGGAAGAAGTAGCTTCTTCCTAGCAGAATCCATTTGCACACGTCAAAAATTAAGTGCAGATTTTGCCGAAAATTTGGCTTTGACACACTGTAATCTTAATACCAACCAAGGTATTAGGCTACCGTACTGTAAAGATTTTTAATTGCATGGATGACCTCAAAAGCACTAGGAAAATTGGTGCGCAGAATCGTAATTATTGCATAATACATTATTATATATTAAGATTAGTTCAAAGCCTAATTTTTGGCAAAATCTGTGCGGAATTCAGCCCTTATTTTCCAAAATGTGTGGACAGATTTCTAGGCAAATTTTTTGCGCAGAGGATATATACAGTCTGGTTAAGTTAATATATCGTGGATATGCAGTAATTTTTGCTCACCTATTTCCAAAGCATTTTTTCGTGCAAATTTCGACTGGTTTTTAAGGTATAATCCATGCAACTAACAAACTCTACAGTATGTCAGGTGGTTGCAAAACCTCTGAATGAAGCCTGCTTGAAATTGAGCTCTAATCTGAAGAATAACAGGCACTAAGGCAGGCCTAACATTAGACTGGGTTCCAGTCCCTAATCTTTGTCTTATCAGTTGAAATGCTTAAGAATAAATCGATTTTGGCACAAATGGCGTTCAATATTACTTATTTGCATGGTGTTCCATAGTATACTTTTTCTCAATTCTCATCAAAAAAGTTTCTCAACATAAACTGACGCTGGTGGCGCTTTCCGAAATGCGCTAATGTACTACGAAAAATCCATAAATTAGAGACTTGTGGCAAGTCTAGCCTAGCCTATGCATGCACTGTTTTACTTCCCAGCTCTGTCTAGTAGTATACCCTACCTAGGCCTAGGTTATTATTAATAAGAGGTCAACATCAGTTAGAGTAGAATAAATCAGGGCATGCCTGGACTAGCTACGCTAGCCTAGCTTCTAACTAGGTATATGAATGAATGACCTTCTTTCTTTTTCTAGCCTACCTACTACTAGGCCTAGCCTAAGTAAGGTCCTAGCCTAGCCTCTAGCTTGGCCCCTTCCTAGCTTAGCTAGCTAGGCCTAGGCGTTTTATTCCCTAGGCCTATACTACGTATTGTACCAGTGATAAAACTTTATTAAGTTCGATTAAACAAGCTTTCAGAAGTTTAAATTTATACCAAAAAATGAAAATGATCTAAATAATGAAATTCATCTCCCACTTCCAACAAACATGACATAGGCCTATGTCATTCACCATCAAACCATGCCGCAATGCTCAAAGTTGTTTTGATCAGTTTTTGATTGGAGGGTGCCCTCTACGGCAAAAACAACGGATAGAGCTTTTCCGGTAGCTCAAATCCTTGTGTTTTTCTGCGCTGATGGGTGTTTTGTGGATGAGCAGAATGACGTCAGATGAATCTTGTTTGTGCGCACTTTTTCTGCGCATAGTAACCAAACAAGAGTGCTGTTTTAGGAGGGAAGAGCAAGAGTATTTTTGACACCTTTTTAATTCGATTTTGTTGCCATCAGACCGAATATGACTACATTTAGAGTATGTTTTCACTTTTATATTTGAACATTATTGGCCATATATTTTGGCCAAACTGTTCCTGCCACCAAGTTTTGTTTGTTCATACTACCGTTCATACACGGTACAGTAAGTAAGCTAAGAGTTAGTGAGTGAGTGAGTGAGAAAGCCTAGCCAACACACCAGTGGCAGGTGTGGGGTTATTGCTGTATTTTAATTTATTATAGATGGACTCTGGACTCTGCTAGTAGTAGTACTAGCCAAGGCTATGCTAGAACCCTACATACATGAAGCTAAAAAAGCCTAGGCCAGACCAAGGCA